AGGATAGAGCAGCACCCTCATATTCTTTCCCTACACTACATCTGAATATTCTCTCATCTTAGAGCGTTTACCGGGTTACAATGGTTGCTATGGGTTACAATTGAAGTAATAGAATAGCAGCAGGCGCACCCCTTGAAGGCCGTAGTTGCTCTGGTTACTATGATGTATATATGGGTTGGGTAGAGCCTATATAAAGGGTCACGTCTTGTTTACCGTCATCCATTGACCCTGCCTTTTGTCCTAGTTTCTCTTGTCCCTTGTCCTCAGTTATAGCTAGAATCCCGAACTAATACCTTAGTCTATGACAAATCTTGTCAGATATCACTCGCACTTCTAAGTTATCCACAAAACACAACCCCTGGTTCCCTCGAGTTTCACTGTTTTGGATATCAGGCCACGCCGGCGTTTTAGAAAACAAACAGGCAAATGCCACGGCCAGAGCAGCCCTACTCTAACCTCCACTATTGACCACACCCCTAAAGCTGACATTATAGAAACAATCAAACGATGGAAGGTGCCGTGGTCCGCCTCCTGGTGGTTTCCTCTGGTATAGTTAGAGTAGCCTGGGCACTTACTCCACTTGGGAAGGAGACACCTAACATCATAGTTCGCGCGGAGAAAATTTAATGGGTGATGGAGGCATGTCTGGATAATTCAGGGTTTTTGAGACGTTTCCCTGGATGGGTATTCACGGATGAGGGTTGACTTGGGGCGAAGAAAAAGCTTCCACAACTTCGCAGTGGTACTTGCGAATGAAATCCGAGGCATGAGTACTCTTGTAAATTGAATCACCTATCATGTACTTTTCTTTGATATTGTGTCATAGCTAGATAGCTGCATACGCAATTAAAATCTGATACAAAAAAATCACACACCCAACTTTTGCCTCTACTAAAAACTGGTCAAACTCGTTACCAAGCTCCCTAGTCGAAGGATTCTGGACATTCGAAGCCCCAACCTCATATTGAGCACTTGGAATTAACACCATCGAACAATGCCCGCGCAAGCTTTTCGTAACTCGTTCTCTTGCGGCTCACCATTTTGCTGCCCGCTCCGGGCATGGTGACTTTGCTTCTTACCACAGACGCTATAAGCACGTCGACGCACACAAAATGTGCAGTTGCGATGCTCCTAAATCACTAGGGCATCTCGGGGGACTATTCTCAACACCCGTCAGTGGTGTCCTCCACAAACTTCCAGCTCTCACTGTAGAGTCTGTAGAGCCGAGATTGAGTAACAAATTCCTCACTTCGACGAGAATTTCCAATCGCTTGTGCGGTCTGTATCGTCTTCATCTTTCAACGTATCCCCATAGCACCAATATCATGAAGCTAACCATGATCAGATCAGATGCTAAGGTCGAAGCCCTTCTCATCACCAATCCTTGATCATGGAGGAGAAGCCATATTGGAATATTATCGTGTAATTGATGATACTAGAATGATATGAATAATGAATCCCGATAATATTCGATTGACTGCTTGCTTATTGTTATTGTTACTTCTATCTGAACATAAAGATATCGCTATATCATATAAAAGTCTCTTGTGCTAGCCTTTATCCCACATGACTACGCCAGTACTACTTGATCGTAAACTGAGACTCATTGACTCATTTACATCTCCCGTTGCCTACGTATCACTAGACCCTAGGTTCACAACTATGACACAATGCTAAGTATATATGATACTCCTTGGCTGCGACTTCCTGACCTGGATGCTTCACCCAAACATATTTGACTCTGCCTCAAACTCGTCATGCGTGGTGGTTTGACGCCCCTGCCAAGATATCTATCATAGACCTTGTATCTGTCGTAAATAGACATTTACAAGTCATGCTCACGATATTCACAACAAGCCATTTAATGAGTTTCCGGAGCGTAGCCAGCACCCGATGCAGAGATGGTGGATTTGATCAAGTCGGCCTCGACTGTTACAAAGAAGGGAGATATACATGAATATGCGCACCTCATATGGTTCCGATGTCTAGACCTCGCCTGGCTGGGGCTGCAGGTTTTTTGAGACTTTTTCCCGCGCACGCAGTTTCCATTGCTACCATTTTTTTTTGGGTAGAAGGTTCCGTGGAAAAGGTGGCTGAATTCCACGGGTAAACACTGAGCTGAATGGCTATTCATCAAGGGGAATATATCACTGATCTCACAGGTAACAAAAGAGGATAGGAGCACTGTACAAGGTGTGGCCTGGGTCAGAGAGGAGCCCCATGTGTTAAAAAAGTCATAGACTTAAGTAGCACAATAAACCCACACACACCATCTTGTATGAATCTGTTTGGTTGGGTGCCATTAGATTCATTGGGACTCAAAACCCTCTGACACTGAGAAGCTGCTTTGCGATAGTTGAGTGGATGAATTTTGCTAGATTATTGGTAGTGCAGGATCACTTAAGTCTCGGAGATATTCTTTTACGGATCCAACTATTTGTCTATGCTAAACCAAGTTAGCGGAAAATTATGTACTATCATTCACATCGAGAAAAAAGCTTGATATTCCACACATCTAAGTGATGACAAAAGCAAAGCCCCAGCCATCACTAACTATCAAATGATCTAATGACTTCATGACCAATCATGTATTGTCTTAGAAATGATGACTAATTATTTTGATGAGTAATGAGTTACCTGTTTAGAAATAGCGTTACGAGAGAAGGATAACTGCTGCATAAACGTGTTTCCTCTGGTTAGACAGACAAGAATACAGATACATATTAACCACCAATCGTTATTACTGCGATGGAAAGCTTGTGATATGAATACCACCTGAGTATCCCGATACTAGCTTTTGCCACTGGCGGTGCTGTCCCTCAACGTTAAGTTTCTTGACGATTGTAAGCTATAATTCTAGCCGCTAGAGAATTCCGACCGGATGTTCTGTACAATGAAAACTATTATTTTCGCAGTTAGCGCAAGGAACCCTTTTTCTGAGTCAGTCCTGGGTCTGTTGAGCACCAGCGCACTCACCACACCGGGTTGCCTTACTATGCGAAGCCTACGTACGACCCTACTGGCTGCAGTTAAAACACTGTTAGCTTAAAACTTGGGAGGCTACACCTGCGCAGTAAATTACATAGTATCAAGGACGATTCCGTTTGGAACTACTTGTTCATAAAGGGTCTCCGGGAAGAAAATCAGAATAATCAAAGTCTTTATATGTACATTTGTTTTTGCTCGCCGGTGTAGCTTTCTGACTTTAGTCCATCTAATTCTGGATATAGCTAATCCTAAAATTCTTGTCATAGTCTTTATACAAACTTCTAAATCAAATGTCATTTCGATGGATTTTCTACCCCTTTTGTGTTTTTTCTCAGTAGGACTCTGCAAATATCGACGAACAAAAATTATGCCTTCATATGTAATAGTTCTATGGTTGAGTCGAGCTGATAGCCGCGTCTCCCTGGGACGACAAAAGCACAAACACCTTTATTCGTTTGCTTCTTAATTGTTGGACTGCGTAGGCTGCGGGTCCTTTGCTACCTCTATTCATAACAGGACCACTGCTTACGCCAACGGAGGCGCAACAGCTGACGCGTGCGTCTTTCGGACTGGCGACTCCTAAGCTATCGATGGAATCGCTCTTTGGGCGAAAGGCACAAGACTTTTCTTCACCACCTCTTCTAAGGTCAGCATTCATTCGACAATCAGAAGTTGCTTTGACTGCATCTTAATTCAGTCCTTGTGAGAATTTAAAGCCTTAGTGGCCTTAATAACATCACCTATGTTCGGCATGTTATCTTCTTCAGCCTTACTCAAATAAACTAGCCTTGTTTCTTTTGGTGTAGCGGCACGATTTCGACATTCTTGTCCTCATGAACTAGATTTGCACCGCTGTCTTCAAGATTTGATGCCATTACCGCTTGCCCAACGCTTCAAGACCGCTGGTTTTTAATTCTTTGGCTCATATTCCCGCCATGTTGTAGCATGGTAGGTTTTCAAGATGGAGGACGGGTAAGTAACGAGCAAAAACAAGATTTGTATTGTCAAATGACTGAAATAGGCAGCGTGGGATACTGCGCGTCTTCTTGTGGAAGACAGTTATTTTGGATCTTCATTTAATTCCAAAGATATAATTTCAGAGTTCAACATCAGAGGTTTTCCAGTCACATAGCTCTTGTGACGGCTTGTGAGCCGATTAGTCCTGCAGCCTTCGATGGCTATGGAAGGCAACCTATATGTTCTATCACTTCGAGGATTACCAATAGAATAGAACAAATATGTTATCGCCACCAAGGCTATGTAAATGATAGTGTCAAGAGTATTAGAAGCGTTGCCCGTGTGGCAGAACAAACTTAAAGTCAGTTTCATTGCCAATGTAAACGTAGGCTAGATTTAGATATCTCTGGATGTGTATAAGTAGCACGGGAGACTTGCAGGTAGTTTGCTTCTCCATAGATCAATTATAGCTTTACCTTTCAATCATACAAATGCACATTTGCTTTCTGGATTCGAACTGTGAAAGCTCTGATAAAATTTCCCAAAAATTCGGTCTTAACATAGTAGTCAGCACAATACTCGGTGTCAAATAGGTTACTAGTAGCACGTACACATATGAGACTCAAGTAATGTTATTCTCCTGGTAATTATCTTAGGGATACCTATGGTGACAGAGAGTTACACGCTGTAGCCTTGTTTGTGGATCCGGAAATATCCATCTCCAGCTATGAACAAGAGCGCGCTATTGTAATAGGGAAACGCGCTCGTTGGGGAAAAAGCATCTCGCGCGCACGTCGTAGTCATTCTCCTTCTTATATAAAATATAAATTCATTTTTGGACCCATAATTGTGATCAACAGATGTGAAGTCTCTTCACACAGAGACACTACTATTTCTGTATCTTTTGGAGCTTCTAGTCACGAAAGGTGGTTGATTGTAATTTTGTGTAAAAGGTAGCTATTAGTTGGTCAAAAGAGCGCGATAGTTTCGTGCGAGAGGTATATAAAACACAAATAGGAAAATTAGTCGGATTTCCGGGCTATATTAAATTGAAATTATAATGTAGGACGGCTCATTAGAAAGCTGTTCACACTCTGCAAAGTTGCCCGGCTTGGGTTTGCGTGTGGCATTGAAGTTGTTAACCATACAAGCTTATCCCTAATGAAATCCTTGTTTATAAAGGTTCTATCCCTCATTTCATTTTGTAGTGCTCCTTTTTCATCAAAAAATAAGCATAAAATAGCTAGTCCTACACCAATTGAAAGCTCCGTTCCAGTTTGGCAAGCAATAATTATTGATATACTTGTCTTTTCAACACCATCCACTAGAATTTTTCTATGAAGAAAATTCTTCACAAACTCAATTATTGTTGAAAGGTCTTTACGTAAATTTCTACTCCCAATCTTGTGTTGGCCTATACCAACTTCCAGGTAACTTTCTGATATCTTTTTCTCGCATACTTCAGGAAGCAGGAGGATTTTACAGCAGTTTGATTTTAAATTTAGGGTTCTTACCGCAGATATGCTAGTTATGAAGAGATGTGAGGTCGGATGAACACGATGCAGTTCACGGCTCTCATATTTTTCACTCTTGTCATCTTCGACGACAAGTTGCTCAATGAGCTGTGGGAGTTCGTTATCAGCAGCAGAAAGCAATATTTGAGTGTTTCCCCAAAATATGCTTGGTGTGAGGCGGTGAGCCCAGTTTTCGGTGTCATCTCCTGCACCTTGGATGTATACTCCATGGCCAAATTCACTACCTGAAGTGCGCTTGGATACAGTACAGCATATAACTGGGTGGAAATCGGGGAAATCCATGCAGTTTTCGGGAATTGCTGATTCTGGAGTGATCCATAGTGGACGAAGAGGCTTCAATAATGATTGCCCTAGACCAGTAGTTGTAACATCCAGAGCTCTTAGGGTCTTGACGAATGATGGAAGAAGTGCAGAGATCTGTGCATGTTCCGATGGCGATACAGATTGGGGTGGCGTGTGTAAAGAATGCCATTCCGCCTTTTTGGGAAAGAAATACTGGTTGATAACCGCGCACCAGATGGGTATAGTTTTGCTCAAAGCATCTGGCATTCCTGCAATATTTAGAAATTACTCAATGTCTCCCTTTTTTATCTTACGTTTACCACGTCTTGTCGAGTCGACAATGATACACCTGTATTTCACAATCAGCCGCACGATTAATGAATTGGAGATTTTACTCACCCGTCGTGTGTTGCTATTATCTTTAGTAAGTGGAGATTTAACCTTCTACTACTAAACTGCCAAACGCCGTTGTGCCCGTCGGTGCTTTTGAAATATACACTTCCACACTTTCTCTGTGGAGGTACGTACCAGCTACCGCATCTTTCATTTGCTATAAGGGGCCTACAGTAGACAGTTGAGATCTTGTGAGCAAAATCTGCATCCTGATATATTGATGCTAGACGGTTTCGAATGGAAAAAGTTGAGCGCTTGAGATCGCCCAGCACCTTTCCAAAGTTATGATTTGCTTGTTCGGAAAATACCAGGTCGGACGTGTTAATAAGAGACATGAGAAGTTGCCTAGAATGATCAACAGGGCTGGGTTTGCATGAGCGAAGAGAGGAATGTGTATTCGATGAAAACCCTTGCTTCAACACTGTGTGTACGGCAGGGCACCTAATTTACTTGTAGCTAGTGATGCTGATACAACTCTTTTATTTTCATTGAGATGCAAATTGAATCAGACGAATAGATCCATCCTGCCCATAAGATACGTCGATTTGGCTGATAGTATATTGGCATAATAGGGTTGGATGGTGCAGTGGTACACCATTTAGGCCGCTATCCCAAGTAGAACTGGGTAGCTTGAACACTTACCCCATTTGAGACAGGAGAAAGCATGTTCGAATTCAGTAAAACCCATACACCACTCTTTCACGCGCTGATATCGTACTTGTGGGATGATGAAAGCGCACTCGGATAGCCACAGGTTTTTCACGCTTTTCCCTGTAGTGGTTATGCACGGAAGAGGTTATACGCCGTAAGGGTTAACCTCGAGTGGTATCTGCAAATGAAATTTGAGTGTGAGTGTTCTAAATGTCAAATTGAGTCGTCCTACTTAAAGTACACATCTTCTGATAAAAACCTGCATGGGCCTCAAGGCGCCAAATCAGGAAAATGAATGATGTATATATATTAAATAAATAAACTAGGGAACTGACAAAACACCTGTACGCGACACGTTTGAACCTGGTATACTAGAGCTGTATGACGATAACTAGTTATTTCAAGGACAAAGGCCGAGGACCTATTGAAGATGTGCTATATTTAGCTGTAAATAAATTCCTCTGGACTTCGACTTTAAGTCACGATAAAATTCATAAGTGGGAGCTTTAGACGAGATGACAATGTGGAGAACGTGCATACACCATTTTCGATCGAAATTCCGGAGGAAAAGACTGAACTTCTGTACGCGGTGTCCTCTACGAACCTGGGAGTGAAATATTCTCCCAGAGACAAGTTCAGTCAAATTTCGCAAAATCAAAGAAGTTGGCCCACGAGGCAATAACTCAAATTACTCCACCACGTCAAATTTCCACTCCCAATGAGTCCGAATCCCACTTAAGCTTCATCAAGTCTACAAGTACGACCTAGTACATCCTCATCCCAATGACCATACCTCTCGTCGACTTTCTCTGGCCTCGACCACCAAATACACGCCCACGCCGATATTTACACCCGACGGAGGAAGCAAAGCGTGGAGCACAAATCTGGGAAATAGCTCTTTGAGACGGACGTGAGAGGGATCAGGACAAGTTCACAAGATCATGCAAAGGAAGGATACAAACTCGACGGGCGTGTCATTTTGAATTTTAGCAAGAGTTTTACGAATTGAGCTTTGTGCGTACCAAGTCTTCGGTTGCGAGAGTGCAGCTGACACTATAATCACAAGCAAACGATGGAAGGTACCGTGGTCCGCCTCCTGGTGGTTTTCTCTGGTATAGTTAGAGTAGCCTGGGCACCTATTCCACTTGGGAACAAGACACCTAACATCACAGTTCGCGCGGAGAAAAGTTAATGGGTGATGGAGGCATGTCTGGATAACTCAGGGTTTTTGAGACGTTTCCCTGGATGGGTATTCACGGATGAGGGTTGACTTGGGGCGAATAAAAAGCCACCATAACTTCGCAGTGGTACTTGCAAATGAAATCCGAGGCATGAGTGCTCCTATTGTAAATTGAGCCATCTTTTCTGTACTTTTCTTTGATATTGTGTCATAGCTAGATAGCTGCATACGCAATTAAAATCTGATGCAAAAAAAAGATTGAAACTCCGACCTACAGATATTTTACGACATTTCGATTCACCTATTTCCATTTCTTTGCCCCAAACGAGAACCACAGATCGGCTCGAACCATTCTAATTTTTATGTTAAACAACTAATAACCCACCATCTTATTCTTTCCAGGAAATTTATTCTCAGTCGGGTTCATCTTGGGGCACTCACCAAAATCATCGCATCGCCTTCCGAAGCAATCCTATGAATCTAAAGATTATAATCGTGATCAAAGAAACTAGACCTTCCAACCCTTTGCTATTACCCCTCGATGTGAAGGATGGTTGAAGTATCGTTCTTAAATACGTTCTCACTTCGGCCAAGGGAACCTATGTCCTGACCTGCGACAAATCGCAAACGAAAATACAGGCACGACGTAACATCGGCACATCAACGAGGGTGTTCGACAAAGGTCAGGGCGTCGAAGCTTCGCTCATGAGCTCTCAGTTGCAATTTCGACTTCAACTAGGGCTACGGCAGCGATAGGGCAAGGTCGGAGGGGTGCACAGTCTACAAAATTTCCGAGATGGTGATATTGGCCGAAGCATATTGGAGATTCTACAAAAAATAAGGTAATGAAAACCAAGGAAATGCTCTGTGGGTAACTAGATGAGGCTTTCAATGAGTAAAACGACTACTTGATTAGATGAGGAGAATCTTGAATGAAGCACGACCGGGACTGAACGGAATAAAAGAATTAGGAATATAAACGTTGTGAAGGGCTCAGGCGCTTGGTGGCCGAGTTTGAGGAGGAGCTTGTGCTTCGACGTATCAAAGTCAGATTCTCTAGACGGTTAGACTTGGCATTTTCAACCCAAGGGTGAAGTCTAAGGTGGGACGAGGCTTATGCACTTCATGGTAGTTAAGCTGACCCTGATCTGCCCCACTCGTTCTGAAGCTCCTATAGTTTTTTTTTTTATATTATATTAAAGTCCTAAGCTAAAGCTCTAGATCCACTATCGGTACAAGACTGGTGGAGCCGGCGAGGATCACTACTAATAGGCCCAACTCATTCCAACCGCGAGACCCGCTACAGAAAAAGTAGGAGGTAAATTATAACACAGAAGACTCCACCTACTCCGACTCCGAAATCGAGACTCCATCCTTCAACCCTAAATTCAAGTACATAAAAGATTTCCTCAGAGAAACGACACTTCTCGCATCGATCCCTTTCGTGTCATGCGTTGTGGCAATGACTAGTTTATCTGATCCCCACTGAGAGCAGTGGATGAGTGAGCAGGTCGTCTATCAAAACAGCCGGTTTCCTGCGCAAAATTTTTGAAGCTATCGTGGCACTTGGGCCCGAGAAGCTTTTTGATAAAGTCAGCGTGGGACATTGACTTTCTGAGCCTACACGTTTGTTGTGCGTGGCGGCTACAGTGGATAAAGTGGGTTGGAGTTGTTTCCTTCCCGCAAGAGCACTCCATGGGAGCGTATGGATTATTAAAACGGCGATGGTATGCCGCAAAATTGCCGTGACCCGTTCGTGCTGCAATTAGTGCCCGGAGGAGGTGCCTAGAGAGAGACAGTTCGGGTGGTTTGCGTCTCCGCACCTGTAGGTCGAGTTGGCGGTATTGAGGCGGACAGGCCTCTTCCCACCAGTCGTCTAGCAGCTTCCAGAGCCTTCCTTGCTCCTGTTATCTCTGCATCTAGCACCTCTCCCCCGTGCTTGATGCCACTTCTGTCGGAACACTACCAATGGTCAATTCACAAGCTTGTGTGGGGTTACTCAATTCATTCCTATTTCTTCTCCCTGCCGGGAGGAATTCTATAAATACATTGTTGCCTTTAGCTAAACGCTATTCCCTATAAGGAAAGATCTCAACTCGACCCTTGTACATAACATGTTGTGAGCCAGTTCACACAACTTCCTTTGCCGATGAGTTTCCCATCCTTCCTCAGAACGAAACCCCAGGCGGAGCGTCCATGTCCTTCCGATGACCCATCCGAGTATGCGCAAATGTCCGTTCCTGGCAAGTCGCTAATCCTTCGAACGCAACCTTCGCGTTCCATCGACTTTGAGCCTGATTTCTTATAGTAAACCACCGGCATCTGACTTTCAGGGGCTTCTGCTTCCGGAAGCTCTCGGTAGGCACGCTGTAACCGTGACATCTGGATTTCTGGTCTGGCTGATGTTTTGGCGGTCTTTTTATATTTTTGGGTGCCGACGTTTGAGCACACGGAAGCGCGGATCCTCAAAGGGTGTCGATCGTCAAGGGTCTTAAGCCTTGCCGATAGTCGAAGTCGGTTTCCCTCAAGTATGACTTTTGCTGGCGGGATTCCTCCTTCTCCGTGAAGGACTACATTTGGTGTTGTCCTCATTGCTGGAAGCGCAGCCCGTAGTCCCATTAGGTTCGCTTTATCAATCATGCTGCATAGGTTAGACGTAGATGACGTGACCGTTCCTCGTATAGTTGGGCGTTTAGACCCTGGCCACCAAACATCAGATCCAAAGGTTGCGAGCGAGACAACGCACATGTCTACTGCCTTAGCCAATGGCCCAGGAGCTGATCCCCGAAAGGCAGAGTTGAAACGGCGCATATGCTGTGCAGCTTTTATCGCTTTCCCGCACCACGTAGTTACGTGGTGTTTGAAATTGAGTCGAGGATCCAAATGTACGCCAAGCCATCGAATATGGTCAGCGGGCTCGATGAGATTTCCATTCACATGAACCCCAACTGCTTCTTCTCGGCGTCGTCCTGAGAATTGGATGACTTCAAACTTTTCCGGTTCGAAGGCAACGGCATTTGTCCCTGCCCACTCGAGACCACAGACCATCTCTCTCTAGGTGGTGACTCCGCCGGAAAAACGTACTTGAACTTTCCGGTGTGTGAGGAATGAAGTCGTCCATCGGAGGTTTGAGTCTGGCCATCCCTGGGCTTGCATACGCCTAACCAAGCGATTGTGGAGCACTGCATCGAACGCTCCTTGGACGTCTAAAGTTACAAATGTCGAGGCCCATCCCTGGGAGCGTGCTTCTTCGACGTCGTGGACTACGCAGGAGACTAGGTCCGTTGCAGATCGCTTTGGGAGCGCACCGAATTGTTGATGGCCAACCACATCATGAGTGATTGCGAGGTGCGCCATTAGCTTGGCAAGAAGTCTTTCTAATCCTTTGCCTAGGCACGAGAGTAGAGCGGCGGAGGAGGTCTGACCTGTCTGTGTTTGGCCGAGCGCATCAGCTTGAATATTTCTGCCGGAGTTGTCATCGCTTCGACTTGACATGTCTGATGT